TCGGCATTTATATTCTCCATGCTGGTCTCTATACATTTCCTGTGCACAGCAGTGACGAGGGAAATGTCGATAAGATCAATAGCTTTTTAAGTTTGCGATCTTTTGTTAAATTCTCATGAGCCTTATGGTTAAATTTAGCGGTGATACCTTAGAGAGAAATAGATGCTAGATATCCTATAGGGTTGAAGGGTTATTACGATTACTATCGCTTGTGTTGAGTTTTACATAACCTGATCAGATAAGTTAACAATATTGGCCTCGAGGAAGCTGTATTACTTTGAAAGCGCTCTATCTCTCCCTCTCTTGCGCGGGAGATTGCGTTACACCCGGTCTGCACCAAATTTGGTCAACAGGAAGTGAAGTTCTAAAAATTAGATAAAAACGTAAATACTGTCAATGTCTGCTACCCGAGTAACAGTTTGACTTTTCCTCGTCTCATGCAATGTTTCCTGAGACAAAGCTAGTTGAGGGAAACGTTGACGCTCTCTCCTCTGATGGTTATGTTTTCCGTTTGCAACCGGCTTTCAGTCGGTTATGATAATCGAAAAAAGGGCGTTCGAAAAGCGGCTTATCAGTTTGGTTTGCTTTTATTGCTAGATGACCAGAGGAAGCTGGCTCTTACTGAGATGGCGGGACATAGCAGTGAACAGTATGTATTCTAAGTACTTTGGTACTTTGATACAATGAATATTCTTTTTATGTTTCTAAGTGTATACAATGAATCACTTTATGGTAATTTCATTACGTTAAGAAGAGTTTATCGTCGATGAAACCAAAGCTTGCTTGTATTTTGCTTCTGAAACCGGTGCTTTCCCGCTGGTCAATCGGTAGTTGTTTGAGTGATTTCAGTCGTGTTTATCGCAGACAAACTGTCATTTGGAAGTCATCGCAAATCAGCTGAAAAGCAAACTTATGGGCTTTCCTTTGAGCTGAATCCTTCAAATGTTTTACAAAACTTCAGCTACTTGCCCTTATTTCATCGTATCCCACCACTGACATTACGTTTTACGAACACGCACCGAATACAGTCACCAAAAGAATGGAGATTATGATTCTCTTTATGAGGACATAATGAGATCACTGTAATGGCGCCTTGGCGGAATGCATGAGTGCTGTTGAATTGAGATTAACTAAACGGACGCAGTTTTAGATAAATAGCAGAAATCAGGAAATTTTGTTCAGATTTTTCCGTTATCGTTAAACCCTACAAGAACAGCTGGAACGCGATTGCGCGATTATTTATTTTTATTTTCTTTTTTGGTCATCCAGTGATCTAATTAGATCATAATTGCTCTCCGTGGAATTCTACCAGTGATGTATAAATTTTATCTTGCTCTATGTCTTACTGATGCTAATTTCACACAACTTTGTCCTTCCTAGTCGGCTTGATAAAAGCCCGCATGACTGGATAACGCTCTTAAATTTCAAGTGTGCGTTGTAGATTGGTAAACCCTTATCGAAAGAAAAACCTTTTCAAGCAATGGATTATCATGTCAGTTGAACTTTCTTGCTTTTAAATGCAACCCGCAGTGAGTCCTTTTTCTAGTCTCAAAACGTTTCTATATATATATATATACTGTCTGCAGTTAGATATAGCTCTTTGGCATACAAAGCTTTGCTTTCATGTC